ATCTCATCAACTAAGGGTTCTTGAGAAGAATCAAGAATTTCTCTACTTCTAGAAGAGGGGGCCATTGGGATAGAACTCCTTGAAGAAGAACCAGAGGAGCCGCCTCGAGTAGATTCTAACCATGTTCGAAGCCTACCTCCTCCGCCTCTTCTGTGTCTAACAGGGGCGTTGGGGAATTGGTGTAGAATCGGAACTTTTTACGGTTAGGGTTTGAAGATGACATTGTTAGGAAGTATAAGTCGAAAGAAAGTAGAAATAAAGAAGAAAATGTTTGCTGAAGATTTGTGAAGAAGACAAAGGAAGAAAAAGTTATGTATATAATGGGAACCATCAAACTTAGAAGTGTAATGATGGAAAGCCTATAATAAAGGCAACTATCACTTCGTGAATAGTGAGAATGAAGAAGTCTTGAAAAAGGGTGTAAATAGCAGAATCAATCAGAAAATGACACATGGGCAGAACATTAAATGGAAAAGACGACTGAGGCGTTAATACTGTCATAAGCATTAAATGTGGCGAAAATTCCTTTTTTATGAAGATCCACTTCCCAATTATTTAATTGATAAATAAATGGAAAGTGGGGGGACTATCTGTATTGGGAAAAAACTGAGTTTATATTAAAGATGACGTGGCATGACACGTGGTTTGGTTAAATGGTCAAAGTGCAACAATTGACTAAGAGGCACGGATGGAGACAGCCACGGGAAGAGGAATTTAAATAGGCACGAGACGAAGTGCAGATACGAGTCTCGTACCAATTCAAGTCATTTACAGCCAACGGATTAGAAGGCATTAAAGACAAAGATCTGATGACAGAAAGGAGTCCAAATTCATTATTAAATACCTGATACGTTAGAAAATTGGTATTTAATAGGAATGATTGTATAACGGCTTATTTAATATCATTTATTACTCATAATTATATCATTAAAGCTGAGGCTTCATTCCTTTACCTAGAATTACCTATAAAAGGAAGAAGTATCATCATTTGTGAGGACACGGAATACTATTGGGAACTCATTGAAATACAAAACTATTTGTTGTTTTACCATCATTCTCAAAAATATTTTATTTTCGTCTCCTGATTATCAGTAACCCGAATTTCTTTTTAGCTTTGACCAAAGATTCAGATTTTTGGTTAAACAAATGCGGTGTGTGTCATTGTGGACATGCTAACCAAGTCACAACACTTCATTCCTGTGGTAGTTACCTATTCTTCAGAGCGGTTAGCTGAGATCTACATCCGCGAGATCGTTCGTCTTTACGGTGTACCTGTGTCTATCATATCTGATCGAGGTAAGTAGTTTACCTCGCACTTCTGAAGGGTAGTACAACGTGAGTTGGGCATGGAGGTTGAGTTGAGCACAACATTTCATCCTCAGATGGACGGATATTCCGAGCGCACTATTCAAATATTGGAGGATATGCTCCGCTCTTGTGTTGCTCCAGGTTTTACCCATGAAGGGTGTGATAAGGTTCGAAAAGAAGAGCAAGTTGAGCTCTAGGTATATCCCTGTCTCACAAACTAATTCAAACACACTATACAATTAGCACCTCCTTGAAGAGGACCCAGATACATTCATACACCTGACACAAAAAATTCACCTGCAAATTGCTCCAAAAAAAGTATATAAAAACAAGAATAACCCACTACTATTCTCGATTCTTAGGCACACACCAACACCCGTACCTTCACCAATCACCATTACAAACAATCTCCAGGACTCCATCGTATCATCACAAGGATAAATCTCGTATCAATAATTAGGCCTAACATCCTAAGTAAAGGCAGTTCAGCCTACGAGTCAAAGCGGTGACAAAAAAAAATGTCCAGGAACTCACTTTTCTTCAAGCAGCTTTGGAAGAACTGTATCCCTGTAGTAACTGATGGAGGACCAAGCCTTGATCCTGAAGTTGTAAACATTGCTCATATTGTAATCAAATCGTTCCATAATATAATCAGGAATCTTGTCCACCACTCGCACATCATTGGCTAGGGATTTGACAAAAAATTCTTCATCATAGATATCTCCAAACTTGCTGCAGAAAAACAACTGTGGAGCATTTTTATGATTTGCAATTAAAGAAGGTGCAGAAGTAGATGGATGTTAAACTCAAGATTGGTCAAGAGAATGGCCATGCTTAAAACAAACTAAAACCCACTATCTCAGAAATAGTTATACGACAATCCACCACCAGATTTTAGTTTGCTTCAACAATACCTCCAAAGGAAATGGCATAAACCTAAGGTATAGATTCCCAGACTAACAAATCTGTTCAAATTCTAGAGGTATTGAAATCTTTTTTGCGGCCATTTGTGATATATTCAACTAGAGGTACAACAAACAACAACAACCCAGTAAAATCCCACAAGTGGGGTTGGGGAGGGTAGTATGTACGCAGACGTTACCCCTACCCTAAAGGAGTAGAGAGGTTGTTTCCGGAAGACCTTTAGCTCAAGATAATAAGAAAAACACAAAAGAGAAAATATTAGTTTCACCACAGAGATCATAAGAAAAATAAGAACATAAATTGCAGAAGGAAAAATGCAAAACAAAAATGATGGCTAGTAAATAGGTAATACATTTCTATTAAAGGGAAGTCAGTTCTAATGAGCAGGTAAAGCATCTCAAGAGCTTCAACACCACCAAAAACAATATACCAGTGTGATTTCACGAGTGGGGCCTGGGAGAGTGAGGTGTACGCAGGCCTTATCCCTACCTTGTGTGAGATAGAGAGGTTGTTTCCGATAGACCCTCGGTTAAAGAAAAGCAATTTCAAAAATACATTTGAAAAATTCAAGGGTAAAAATAGTTTAAAAAAAAAAAGCAAAGATGGTAAAAGAAAACTAATAAAATTAGTAAAGCATCTCAAGAGCTTGTCAGCACAAAAAGCTAGCCAAGGTAATGAGCAACCGCCAAATTCCTGAGTTTTACAGTATATAAATGTTCGTCTAAGGAAATACTACATTACTCAAACAAACAAAGAAGATGAAAGAGCTGGCCAACCTTGGATCCCTCCAAATGCTATGAAAATGGAAGTGTGGAATGACCAGGGTCGCATTAAGATAACCGGCCACAGAAACAGCATTGCATATCTGGAAGCACAAAAGCAACAATACTGATATTAAACTACTACCATCACCCAAGCAAAACTTCAGCAATTCAAGAACAATTATCTTTGGAACTAAAGGACATACCGATGTCCTTTGCTGATTCAGACCACCATTTGCTTCAATATAAAGGTAACCATTTGATTCAGGCAAACCTGAAGATATTCGACGTAGTCTAGTGTTATCAAAGGCGAAAATCACAAAAAAGTTCTAAGGTCTATTGGAGCTTTAAGCACAATGCGCAAAAGAAAAACGTAAGCTTTAATGAAGAAAGGCGCAAATGGAGAAAAACGACAAATATGTATGTGTATTCCAAGACTAATATCTATAAGCATGACTACCAAATATATGGACAAAGAAATTAAAGAAAATTTATGATAAAGTGAAATATCAATTGTTTAGTGCCGCCTCTTCAAAATAACACTCATTGGCAAAGAAAAGTATGTCTTAGAGCCATGATGATAATACTAAAGCGTCCGCTAAGCAAGGCGAAACGCTCAACATGTTTTGAGCCTCGCTTCAAGGCTTAAGCGCGCTTTTGAAACCTCATCACAAGTATCCTTGACCTACCTTACAGGGTGCTCAGCACGAGTACTTGAAACCTTAGCATTGGTACTCACTATCTACTCGTGATCCGCAAGGATACTTTGGACCTTAGCACAAGTTCTTGGAAACTCAATACGGGTACTTGAAACCTCAGCTCGAGTACTCGGTACCTACCTGAGCTCAATACGGGTTCTTAAAACCTAAGCACGGGTACTTGAAACCTCAGCATAGGTACCTAGAACCTTCACGACCCAAAACACTACTCTTTATAAGACTTCAATCTATTAGAAATAGGCTGAATAGACTAATAAATATCTATACTTACTGATTTGACATCCTAGCCCCTCTACTTCACATAACTTCAAAATGATACTTGTACTTGTTCAATCGTTATGTTTTAAATGCCTCTGACTGTTGACTAAGATTATGAGGCAACTATTTATCTGGGTTGGCACAATTGCGTGATCCCTAAATAAGAGGCTGCATCGTATATTTTTATTTTATTTTATTTTGCTTTTTAAAGAGTTTTCATCCCCAAACTACATTATTGAACGATGGAAGCTTCAAGAGTTGGGGTAAAAATTAGGTTATTTTTTAATTTTCTTCAGTTCTGTTATTGCTGGGTATTAGTTACAAAATTCCTTTGCTACCATTAGTGGATCTGAGGTTGCTAAGGTATCGTTTCCGGCAACTAAAGCTTCCACCGGATAAACCTTTTTTTAATCGTTTAATGATATTGGGTTCGTATTTTAGTTTCAGAACCCGGTATATGTCCATTACTATATTTATGACTTGTCTGTCATCCTTATAAAAATGACTTTTCTGTTGAATTTGGTGAAAAAACGGAGTTAGTTTGACGTGATTCGGGCGTCAAGTTGTTAAGATAGAAGTTCATAAGTTTTCTTGAAAATTTCATTTTATTTGGTATCTGATTCGTAGTTCTAGGTGTTATTTTAGCGATTTGATTGCGCGAGCAAGTTTGCATGATATTTTTGGTCTTGTGTGCATGTTTGGTTTGGAGCCCCGAGGACTCAGGTGAGTTTCGGATAGGCTACAGAGTAAGTTTGGGCTTAAGAAAAATGCTGGTGTGCTTCAGTTCTGGTGCAAGTCTCTAACCTCGCAATTTGCGAGGTCACTGTTCGCAATTGTGAGGAACCCAAGTTCCTATCTTGGTTGCAATTACGAAGAAAATCTTCGTAATTGCGAAGATGGGTGGCTTAGCAAGAGATCACAATTGCGATCAAAAGGTCGTATTTGCGGGGGACCAGAGTTCGCATTTGCAAAGATTTCATCGCAAATGCAATGAAAGTAGAGGTGTGAAGGCTTCGCAATTGTGAGGTATTTTTCATATTTGCGGGGGTTTGCAATTGCGAACCCCATGTCGCAATTGCGAGATCTGCAACTAGTCAAAAGCTGAGTTAAACCGGATTTTGGTTCATTCTCTCAATTTTTCAAACCTAAAAACCCTAGAGGCAATTTTTCCAAGAACCTTTCTTCCCCAATTCATTGGTAAGTGATTCCAACCTATTTTCTTTCAATCTTCCATTACATGTCATAAGATTTTAACCTAAAATCTAGGATTTTCTTGGTGGAATTGTGTTTGGGTAGAATTAGGGATTTTTGTAAAATTAGATTTTAGACCTCAAATTGAGGTTAGATTTCAAAACAAATTACATAACCAGGCTCGGGGTGAATGGGTAATCGGGTTTTGATTCGAATTTCGGGTTTGGACCAAGCGGGCCCGGGAGTTGACTTTTGTTGACTTTTTCAATAATGACCTAAATTAAATCTTTTGTAATCGTGGGTAGTTCCTAAGGCTTATTTTGAATCGTTTGGTTGATAATTTGCTGGATTTGGTTGGTTCGGAGGCTTGTTTGAAAGGCAAAGCTGTGGTTGAGCTTTGAGTTGATTTTGGAGCGAGGTAAGTATCGTGGCTAATCTTGACTTGAGGGATTAAGACTTGTTTGCCTATTTGCTACCTGTTTAGATGTTGGGTACAACGTATATGTGAAGTGACGAGTACTTATGCGTTGTTGTTGGGTTAAAGCATGCGGGTGAGACTAGTTTTCTTGTAATTTATGGCTTTCTTTGATCATGATATCCATGCTTAGACTAGTTTAATTATTAAACTGATCGTTCTTTCCGTATTTATGGGTTGTCTATGATAACTGAGTATTGTTTATGAAGTTGAGGTTGATTTTGGGAACCATTAATGACGTGAAGTTTGTCCTTGTTTATTTTATCTCCCGATTGTTATATGTTCACTCTTATATGGTAAGGGAGAGAGTTAATGCATGCAAGGTGATGTCGTGCCATATTTGAGAGTTAATGCACGAAGGGTGATGTCGTGTCGTATCTATTGATTTATGATGAAAGTGAGAGTAAAAGCACGAAGGGTGATGTCGTGCCGTTATTACTGTTTTATAATGAGGTTGAGATTAAATTCACGAAGAGTGACGCCGTGCAGTTTTGTTTATTAAGTTTATTCGTGTTACTGGTTAAAGTCTTATTGACTCTTATTGTTATCATTCCCCGTTGGAGTTATCATAATTTGTACCCCTTTCGCATGTCTCCTCCCAATAGTACATGTTTAGCTTTTATTTGTTGTTATGTTGTACATATATTGATTTCTGCACAGATTTGATTAAATGGGTGTCATGTCATAGCCTCATCACTACCTCGTCGAGGTTAGACTCGACACTTACGGAGTACATTGGGTCGGTTATGCTCATACTATACTCTGCACTTCCTGTGCAGATTTTGGTACTAGTCCTAGCTGTCCGTGAGTTGTATCAGCTCGGATTTACTTTTGGAGACTCGAGGTAGATCTGATGGCGTCCGCAGACCTTGAAGTCCCCTTCCACCTTCCCCTTATTTACTGTTCTTATCATTCGAGACAATTGTACTTATTTCAAATTTTGTATGTAAAAACTCTAGAAGCTCGTGAACTTGTGACGCCAGATCTTGATTGTACTTAGATATTATTGGTTTTTATGTCATTACGCACTCAGTTTTAGTTTCACTTCGACTTAATTGATTTTACTTACTGAAATTGATTAAATTGGCTTAAAGATCCTCTAACGTTGACTTGCCTAGCAAGTGAAATGTTAGGCGTCATCACGGTCCCGAAGCTGGAAATTTCAGGTTGTGACACACACACCTCTACAAGTTTTCGTATTTATATTGTGGAGAATGCTACACATACTAGAGGACAGTTTGTCCATGAATTTATTTATTTTATTATTTTTTTTTTCAAAAATGTGTTTATCCATAAAATTTTGCAATTTTTTGAAACTTTTTTGAAAATGAGTTTTTCAAAAACTAAAAATTGGTTTTGACCACCTTTTCAAAATTTTCAATTTTTTTTCTACACTCACAAAACTGCAATATTTTTTCAAGTGAAATACATATCCAAATATGATGTGAAATTCCAGATACTATTTTCAACTTAACTTCAAAAAAAAATTATTTCAAAAAATTATAATTTTTATGTCCAAACGCCTACTTATTGATGATAGTAACGATTTGTCTAGTGAAAATGAAACAATTAATTGCGAAATTAGCCAGTAATAACGCTTAACCACATGCTCACTATCAAATGTTTTTAATTGAAGTCTCTCTTAAATTACCTATAGTTGACTAAGACGGAATCTTTACTAACATGCACTGACAATTCACTTAAACCTATTATAGTTGTAACATGTTATTTATTTTATTTTCAAGGTTACTAATTCATATATAAAAAGAATTTAAGTTATATGTACTGGTGTTACATAACAATTTTGCAATATTTGTTTAACTTAGTCGGCTACCTTAGGTTATTATCCTATTTTTTAAATTATCATATCAAATTTATTATGAAAAGTTATGTTGAAAACCCCATCTTAAAGGTCAAATTAATCGGATAGTATAAAGAATCTATATATTTGTTAATGCACGAAACTTGAACTCTTGCTCTACGTACTCACTAGTAGTTGGTTATAAGGCGATTATTTTTATAATTGTGGTGTCCGGGTCAATTTGTGTGCACCTCGATTAATTTCACGGGATAACTGTCACCTTCAACCAGTAATAAGTACCAAATAATTATGTCCTCCAAGGTTTAGACAGCTAGAAAGAAATCACCTAATATTAAAATAATTTAATATACAAAATTCTTTAAAATATCAGTATCTAAATGTTACACTTAAAAAGAAAAAATAACGCTCATATTCAATCTTCTTACATTTCCATGTCTCTTTTTTAATTTTCATTTCTTTTTTCCGCACTTGGAGGAGGGAATAAACTAATTAATAACATCATCAAATTTAAGAGAAAAGTATTCTTGACATTTAATTGTAAGTTAATTAATTCATCAATAAGCAAACGTTACTCAAAAAGATACATTGAAAGTGAAACAGATAAATAAATCTCATTAATTCACTTAGTATAAATCATGCTTATATAAACACCTTCATATTAAGATCAATAAGCATCAAATCAACAAGTACAAAACATATAAAAAAAAATGGCAAAACTCAATATTCTCTTCTCTTTTGTGGCCATTTTATTAATTTCTAGTGCAATTCCTGCCTTTTGCAAATCTAACCATCACGAAAAACATCCATCACCTCCACAAGAAGAAGATGAACATGATAAATACATCAATAGCTTACCAAAAAATTTCTTAAAATTCGTTGAAAATTGTACCAAGAAATTCCCACTTAAATGTGGCGAAAAAGTCATAAATGCTATAAATGAAAAAGGAAATGTTGACAAAAATTGTTGTCATGATCTTGTTAAAATGGGACTCAAGTGTCACAAAGCATTAATCAAGGTTTATATTGGTTTGCCTGAGGTTAAGGACAAGATTGATCCTAAGGTTGTAAAGCATAATGCTAACAAGGTTTTCAAGAAGTGTGTTGACCTTGATAAGAAGAAGCACCATCATTCTTCCCTTTCACCTCCAATTCTACCTTGAATTTTAAGCGGAGGCGAAGATCGGATTTAGAGTTACTGGTTCAGGATGAACGTGAACTATTATATATATTAATATTTTTAACTTTTTGTTTTGTTTTGCATATGTATAAGTTGAGCTTATTAAACTCGATCTAAGTAAGTTTTTTATTTTAAAGAAATAAGATTTTTTTGTTTATGAGTAATAAATCCGTAATGAGTTAAATAAGACTTGTATTGAAAATACTTGCAAAGTCGTGAATTATGCACATACTAAATTATGTGAAATTCTGATTATATCAGACAATTTTATTTTTGTTGATCATTCATCTTAAACTACGACAAGCTACATGCTATAGCGGAAGCGTCACGTATGTGATGAGTTCAATTAAACCCATCGTATTTAACAATATATAGTATTTGCATATAAAAAATTACTAAAATTTAATCCATTATTTCATAAGCGCAATAAATTCAGTGATAAAAACCTTAAAGTTGAATTCCTAAAATTTAAATTTTGAATTTGCCATGTTAAACCCACATGAATTAAGTTTGTAGAACCCAAAAATTTGATAATTCACCTATATAATTTTTATTTTGTCAAATCATGAAGTTATTTTTTTTTTTCGGAAAACAGATATTATTCTAATATTTGTTTTACCCAAAAGAAAATAAAGAAAAGAAAAGAAAAGGAAGAAGCAAAAGAAAATAATTTTCTTTTGACACCACTCAAACAGCCAACAATCATTTTATTTTTAGACAAAGAGACAATAGAAAGAAAGAAGGAAAAAAAGAAAATGAGCAGAGTGCTGTGTAAATCCACCATTGCACTCATTCCTTCATTAGCTTCTTCTACTTCTCCTCATTTCAGATTCAAACACTTTCGAACTTCTTCTTCATCTTTTCCTAGGGTTTCTCGTATGGCTACCGAAGCTTCTTCTTCTTCGTCTTCGTCTTCGTCTTCGTCTTCGTCTTCGTCTTCGTCGGCTGCATCTCCTTCTCCTTCGTCCGCCATTGATTTTCTATCACTTTGTCACCGACTCAAGGTATTCGCACGCCGCTCTCCATTTTTTTATGATTTTTTTTAATGCATATGAAGTTGTGATATATGTAGGATCATAGAGTGTTGTTTACATAGAGTTGTACCCTGCGCATTATGTGTTGTACGAAGCTTGACTTGAAATTATCTATTTGCTTCATATTTGCATTTGCACTATTTCAGCTATTTTAGTATGCAATCGCAGCTACATATTTTAGTATATGCATTTGCATTTGCACAGTTATTTTAGAGTGTTGTTTACGTATCATTGTACTCTATGCTATACTTGTTGTACTGCGCTGAATGTAATCCATGTCTATTTGCTTTGAAATTGTATTGCGCTAATTGAGTTAGTTTAGTATGTAATGCAGAGGCATTGTACTTTATGTATCACTTATTGTACCGCACGGAATGAATGTGTTTTTATGAATTTTTAATGCATCTGAAGGTAGTATGATATATGAGGATCATAGTGTTGTTTACATAGAATTCTGTTCATCAGGCGTTGTACTACGTTTTACATGGAATTATGTATTTGCTTCATATTTTGCATTTGCAGTCTATTTCGATTATTTTAGTATGTAATCAGCGTTGTACTCTATGCAATATTAGTTGTACCGTGCTGAATGTAATCCATGTATATTTGCTTTGAAATTGTGTTGCAACTAATTTAGTTTGTTTAGTATGTAATGCATAGGCGTTGTACTCTATGTAACATGTTGCTCCCAAACGCACACGCAAGTATACGTGGTCGTATAAGTAATATAATGATAAGTTGAGTGTCGAACCCACAGAGACTTGTGTAAACTACTCACTAATT